CTAAGTGTTGAAGAAGAGAACATCAAGAAAACGGGGGGGAATCAGCCACGACGGTCCAATCTAGGCGCAAAGTGGACTCGGTGCATTATGGGCTAGTGGTGTTTTGGGCCTGGTTATTTTTGTGTGCACCGTTGGAGAGGCGTAAGGGGAAAGCTGCAGAGATTACGGAGTATGGTCGGGTTTGCTAGCTAGCCGGTCTAGGCTAGGAGGTTCCATTTTGGTGCATAACACTAACCTCATTTGGTCATCCCCCAGGGGTCCTGTGCGTCATGCTTAACCCTTTTGGGGTTCGCCCAGTGTTTCCTGCGAAAACTACTTTTAGGCAGGTGAACCTGATTGGCTGCTGCTTATCCACCGATTGGCTGATTGCAGAGAAACCCGATAACCTTGGATCGAACAGGAGATACAATGATATATACATACTCTGGACTCTGTAACTGGTTTATATGGGATGCAGCACTATGAGAGTATGTTATTCTTCTTCTTTTTTGCAGAAATCCCTTGACTCAAATGCAGGATAAGACTAGTCGTTTAGCTCACGCCTGGGCCATTCGAGGGAAAAGCACCTCTGCAATGAAGATCAAATGCCCGATAGATAAGAATCGCCACGGGGTAATAATTTCAAGAAGATTGGACTCCTCCGTACAGATCACCATGCATGTGCCCCTTGAACACAACATTTCGAAAACCATAACTGAGTTAACAATAACCTATTCTCAGAGTTCCTCCAGTTCCTTAATCCCTGCAATCAAACTAAATTTTAAGGAAGCTCCGCTCAGGGGGGTCCAATAACAAAGCCACCAAGAAGCCAAGTCCGCCACCCCAGTCAAGTGGAGATGTCTAACTCTCATAAGTTTTTCTTTTTCTTTCTTTCGCCTGTGGGCCCTCCCCCTGTCTTACCTCCTGCGCACCCTCATGAATGCACTTTCCCATCGAGTGAACGATGCTAGCTGAATGGACCATACATCACGCCCTCTTATTCGTCGAAACCCCGACATCACGGGTGCGGCGCTTTTTCATGCGATGACCATTGGATGGACTTGGCTTGCCGGATCAGAGTTCTATCAGGGGAGACTTTGGCAATTCTGATCGATCGAACGCCACTGCTCGACGGTGACACACAGCCAAGTCCCGCTGGACCAGGCCAAGGCGTGCAGTCCCTCACCATTCAGGTACCCGTCAGCAAGTTGTCCGACTGGTCTATGTAGACACCCAGCCACATGTGCAGTGTACATTACGATGGCTAGAGCATATTGTTGTTGACCTGCGCTAGGATCCAAACTCAGGGGGTTGGCGTCCAGATCAGATTTTCAATTCAAATACAAAGAAAATATCACACGCACAGGCCAGGCAATCCATTTCAAGATTATTTCTCGTCAAGTCATAAAAGCGCACAGTCCTATGTATGTCATGTCTCGTAATTAACATTGGCTCCGTCAAACGTGTCCATTCGTGGTCCCCATTTTCTTCCAGTCATCAAGACAAAAATAGCGAACACCAGTCCCAATTGATATGTCCAAGACCAATGGCCAAATACCACTTTCCCCACTCCAGCAATTCCACATCAGCCCCACCGGTCGAGCATGATTCACGGCTCCGTCAAATAGACCTTAGCCGGCCGTCGCAAATCGTCGCGATCCTTATATCGGCGTGAACTGCGTACACTAGTCGGCTTCTCGACATAGTCGACGTACGTCGCGGACGGGCGACGGCGCTGTCGCCTTCCGCGACTACTCGTGCTGCTGCGAGTAATTGGAGGCCGGTAGCCGACGTCAGGCGTATCACCACCGCTCCACGCACCGGGAAGTCGGAATATTCGCCACAGCCAAAGGATGAGGAGGGTCCCTGCGATGGAGCCGATAACGATACCCGCAATTGCACCGCCGGAGATTGTACTCGGGCAGTTATCGCCGCTGGACTGCCGGGACTCGAGCATGGAACTTATAGGAGCCTGGGGAAGCGAAAGTATTAGCTTTGGTGAGTTCCAGAGTATGCGATCCGTGGTTCTTTGTTCGGCCCGCGCTGGTATTGCTTGGGTGAGCCACGGAAGAGGGCTTCCAAGCTTTGTAATGACGATGGATATACACATGTGCACCTACCATAACTGGATTATCTATTCAGCAATGCTTTTGATCTGATATCAGGGAATTAGTCCCTGGTGACTGGCAGTTTTATGCAGGGCAGTGGGTCTCGATGCGATGCGACGTCGGCTCCAGCACCCAAAAAAAGCGTGGGTATATGTAGATGATTGAGGCCAAACCACCCACACAGTAGATGAAAAAGAGAAAAGGGAACCCAGAGCCAGAGCCTCAAGTCTTATTAAAATCGGAATCGAGTCTCACAATTCCCCTCTTGATTGCGCACCCTAACCTCCTTTCATCCCGCTTCTGACGTCAAGCAAACGTCGGTCTTGGCGGCCTGAAACAGCAGCGATCTCCTCTTTCGCACAGCACAAACTTGGAATTTAGTTCAACTGATCCTTGTCTGGTGCCATTATTGGCTGCTTACTTTCATTGTCCTCGTAATCCCAGGTCAGATCCTATCAATTGAGGATATTGTGCCGGGAGTACCAAGCCTTGCAGCAAAACCCACATGCATTTGTCTAGGTATGCATGTCACAACATAGAAAGTCTTGTTAATATGACATATGGAGAAGACATACAACGGGCCGAATCAGGCCATGTGGTGAATAAATGCCACCCTTGAAACTGTACATGTGAATAAGTTGCCAGCAATGGTCTAGATAGTAGAGAAGACAAGGATTGAGTGGCAAGACTGGTGAATACTCTTGGCTTAGTTGTTGATGTTGGTTGGTGTAATGGTAAGTTTGATGGCAAGGTTCTGTGGGAATGTTAGATTTGACGATATTCTGAGGGATTTCAGAGCTTATTCGAACATTGAATTCCCGAAATTAGCTACGCTACGCAAATTAGTGAAGGCTTGGATGACGATCTATGCGGATAAACAAAAATAAGGGGAAACGTTCGCTCGTAGTTCGGCTTTCGGCTGTGAAGTAAGCCTTGCATGGTCTCTGCCCCTTTCATGCATAGCTGAAACCTCAGTGCTAAGTCTCGGTCCCTTGATCTGAATATCGTTCTCGCAGGGATATATATATCGTAAATCCTAGATTTCTAGATTAGAACCCCTTATAGCATTTCCCGAACACAATGACCTCGATTACTTTAGAATATATAGAGTAACCTTAGAAGTAGCATGTTGGTTCCTATATTCACTACGGTCATCCACGAATACTATCTCTAAAGATCATACTTCTGGGAATACGTGCCAACTTCGGGTCATATCAAATATCACACAGATTTGTATCAAGGAATTACACCCATGATCTACCCTGCCTTCCGTGCAATCAGTTGTGCGTCGGGACCAATATCCTCGCATTCTGCCATGAGTAAGAACCGTTCCTTCTACAGCTTCCATCGTCCCTTCGTTAAAGCCTGGCTTCCTTCCAAAGATCTGTTTTACCGGGCAGGAGTCTTTGAATAAGCTCAGTATTGTCGACTCGATCATCCTCCCACATCAGCCCTCCGGCATATATGCCATTGTGCAGCGGCACACACGTATTTCATGCTTAGATGCCTTAACGCATCAAAAATAGAAAGCGATCCCAAATATAAAAGAGAAGACAAGCAAAGAAGAGTAGCCGCACTATCCTCTTTCTCCTGTTTTACATAGTACAGCCCTCAACCCAGTTTCCTACCTATTTGTAAAGCCCAAAGCTTGCGATCAAACCGTTGCTCAAGCAATGCCTTCTGATCCCCAGCATACATGAATGTCTTACCTGATACCGCTGCCGGTGACTTATCATCCATAAAGTGAATATCCGGCAAGGAAAGACCTTGTCCGCTCTTGTCTCATAGTACGCACGTTTCTGCGCCTGCTCTTCCGACAGCACAAGATATGCAGATCCAGGAACAACTTGACCCGGCTCACCGTCGACCAGAGCAGGATAATCACCCCATTTACCCAACGCGTAGCCGATTATCTTGGCGGGCCGGAGCTCCGGTTCTTGTGGGAGGTCCAAGATCCTTTTTAGTGTAGCGGGAGCTCTCAAGTACCGTAGAAGAAGTAATAAACTGGATATTTTGGAGGAAGTTCGCGGGGCAATCCCTCGAGATTTGAGATATAGTCAGAAGGGGCTGACTGAAGAATTATCTCATAGGCCGATGGTCCCTCCTGTCGAGGGCCCGGCGGGTTTAGCGAATGTCGAGATGAAGATGGCAGCATCCTATGGGTTCCAATGAGCTTTTGTTCAGAGACGATAGCCAGTAAATCCAATGACACTCGAGTTAAATATTGACAGCGAAAGAAGCTTCTTTAAGGTAAAATAATTGCCCAGGGACGTCTGCTGATGAAGCGGACCGCTGATGTCAAGGGTGGAGGATACTTTACGTAGTTGGTTCGTCTATGACTACCAGGCAGAAAGCGAGGGCGGTGAGACAAGTGGCCGCTCCGGTGCGGTTTCAAATTAGCAGTCCCCTAAAATACAGCCACCATGTTGTATATGTATGCAAATCTCCATATCTATCCTAGAAGCTTAGAATTTCTAGCCTTCACGGGTACTTTACTCAAGTTCTCGTTTCTAAAGTGCACGAGCGTCATTGTAAAAGGAAAAATGTCCAAAACTCCCCGACCCATGATATCATCGAAAACAGCAGCATACAACCCTATTCACCAGGCAAGAGGCCGAAAGTCAAGGACCACACGGTATTTCATCTTCAGTCATTATCGACCGGTGATATAATCCCGGTTCTCGATCGTCACACTCTTGGTCATGTGGTTGACCTTGTAGACACCGACAAGTCGGGCAGCAAGCTCGAACTAGAGAACATATTAGCTATGTCAACTTGGAAACGAAAATCGACGACACGTACCATATTGTTTCTCAATGAGATGACAATGAATTGGGCATTCTTCGTTCGCTCCTTGATGTACGAGGCGACGATGGAAACCTAGAAAAAAGAAACAAAGAAATTAGCACACGTGTCCATCACAATTGGTCCAAAACCAACTCACGTTTCGGAAGTCCAAAGCCGCATCGATCTCGTCCATGACATAGAGCGGAGTAGGCTTGTAGTGATGAAGAGCGAAGACTAGCGCCAAACTGGACAGAGTCTTCTCTCCACCAGACAGATTACCAATGTTCTTCCAGCTCTTCTTGGGAGGCATGACCGAGAACAAGATGCCTTCCGAGAAGGGGTCCAACGAGTCAACGAGCTCCAACTCGGCGTTACCGCCCATGGTGATCATCTGGTACATTTCTTTGAGGCGCAAAGAGATAATTCCAAATCCTTCCATGAATCCATTCAAGCGAGAAGATCGAAGGCCGTCTAGACGTGCCTTGGCGGCGTCTCGTGAGGTCAAAGCGGTGGTCAGATCTGCTGAGCGTGATTCATGCTCGGCGGCTCGGCGGCGGTATTCCTCAATGACTGACAAATCGATAGAGGCATTTTGAACCTTCTCCTCCAAAGCAGCAATGACGGCTTTGAGAGAATCTTTATTCATAGCCTCCAACTCGTCCTTGGTGTACATCTGAAGCTCTGTGGGCTCCTGCTCTTCACCAATATCGCTGATGTTCTGGATAGTCAGCTTTGAAAGCTTTTCCTCCCAATAACGACTGCGCTTTTGGTTCTCAGTCAAGGCCTTTTGGTTCTCTTCCAGTTTATTGCGCATCTCGATCTCGGCAGCTCTTGTCTCATTGAGCTCAGCCACTTTTGCGTCAAGCTCGCCCTTCATAGCCTTCAGCTCGCCCTTTTTACATTCCAAAGCCTAAGGATGGTCAGTAGCAAATTCAGTACACTCGTGGATCTTAGATAACTTACCTCCTGGGCTTCGTCCGCCTTCTGTCTCCAGTCGGCAGATTCATTGGTTTGGTTGGTAATATCTTCTTCCAGTTTCTCCAACTCATCCGCGATCTGGCCAATCTCCTGCTCTGAAACATCGCGGGCTTTGGAGTGCTTTTTGATGAGTTTTTCGTTCTTGGACAGCTGCCCCTCTGCGTTTGAGATCTCCTCGGCAAGCATGCTAATCTGCTCTTTCAAGCCATCCACCTTCGCCTTCTGACCGCGAAGCCGAACACCACCGACCTCCATGATCTTGCTCTGTAATGTCTGGATCTCTTCCTCGATGCCACTCTTTTCGTCGTTGAGCTTAGCGATCTCCTTTTGGGCTTTGGCAATCTGCTTCTCGAGGGCAGCAACTTGGGCTTCATCCGAATCAGACGGCTGATGCTGTGCGCCCAGCTCCTTTACGCGTCGCTGGGCATCAGCAAGACTGCGCTTGGTGCTGTCGATCTCGATTATAATCTTTTGGATCTTAGTCTCCAGCCGTGGGATTTCTTCCGATCTTTCCTTCATCTGAGCCTCCACGTTCCGCTGCTTCTCCTGGAAGGCCTTGAATTTCCTTTCCAGATCCTCGAGATCTGATTCCAACCGAGACACCTGCTCCTTTGTGGTGTCTGCGACTTGCTTTGAGGACATACCGCCTCGGGCGACACGGGTGCCACCACCGCTCATCGTTCCTGACACATCAATCAACTGGCCATCTTCTGTCACAACTCGCCAGCGGCGAGCACCATAGGCAATACGGTTTGCCTGCTCCAAGTCCTTGGCAACCAAAGTATTCTGCATCACGCTGTAGAAGGCTGGGGCGAACTTGGGATCCTTCGGCTTAACAAGGTCAAACAGACGAGGGACACTTTCAGGTGTGTAGATTGACGCCATGTCACGGCGGGGAAGACGGTCAAGAAGAATGAAGTTCGCTCGACCAAGATTGTTCTTGCGCAGGTAATCGATGCATTGCTGGCCGACTTCCACGGTTTCCACCACCATGTTATCGAGAGCAGGACAAGCTGTAGAGATAGCGACATCATACTTCTCGTCAATTGTGCCCAGGTTACCAAGTCGGCCATGGAAACCATCGATGCGGCCAGACTCCTTGAGACGCATCAACCCAGTCAAGACACTTCCGCGGTTTTGTGTGCTTGCAAGACTGACTCGTGCCTCATCTGCTTTTTGGCGGGCACTTGAGACATGCGAACGAACTTCGGGCTCGCGACCAGCGTATTTCTCCAAGTCGTGCTTGAGCTTCTCCACTTCAGACTCCAAAGTCTCTTTCTGAGCTTGTCGCTCTTCGAGATCGTTTTGCTTGGTTTGCAGACTCTCTTCGATTGTAACAACCTTGGCCTGTGCCTCTTCGAGAAGGACAGCGCCAGCATTACCACGCTCACGCAAGATATCCAACTCACTCTGAGCCACCGCGACTGCGGACTGTTTCTCGTTGATTTTCGCATTCCATGGCTCCAATGACTTTTGCTTCTCAGCAATCTGATCAGAAAGGCCTTGCGTCTTGCCTTTGAGGCCCTCACGAATTGAGTTCAGTTCCTTCTCTTCTATCACCATCTCCTTCTCGAATTGGGTGGTTTCGGCAGTCTTCTTCTCAATGTCGTAGGTATACTTCTCGACCAAGCTCTGACATTCAGAAGCAGCAAGACGGCTCGTCTGCATGGCTTTCTCTAGCTTCTTCTGCTTGCCGAGCAAGAATTTCTTCTTCTCCTCAAACTTAACAGACTCCTTGTCGTACTTGGCCATCTCCTTGAGCAAGCTTTGGGTCTCCTTCTCTATCGACTCGTAATGACGGACACCCTTTTTGTACGCTTTTTCGAGCTCTTTGATACCGGATTCGTTTCCCTCGTGTTTCTCGAGTTCCATGTTGAGTAGCTCCTGCATTTGGAGAATGGCCTCTTCCGTAACACGAACGTTATCAGCGCACTCGTCAATGTAAATCTGATAGAGCGCTGATTGTTTCTGTGCCAGTTCGTTCTCCTCGCGGATATAAGCCAAAGCTTTGTCTTTCTTATCCTCCAAGGCCGTCTTCTCCTTCTCCACGTGCTGGACACGGTTGTTCTTCTCCACGCATACGTCGTTGAGACCTTCGAGCTCGGTTGCCGCTTCATCGATAGGTGTCTTGTACTTGGAAGTCCCAATGATGTCTTCCAGGTATTCCAAGAGGCCTTCGTCGTGTTCGTTGGAGGCTTTTGGCTTCATCTGAGCGATCGACTCGACCTCACCCTGCAAAATCAGGAACCGCTTGTGATCGAGATCAATTCCGCGATCACGGAGGAATGTCGTCACAGCGGTGAAATTGGTCTCCTTTTTGTTCATGTAGTATTTGCTGGTGTTATTCTTGAACGCTCGTCGCGAAACAATCAGTTGGGAATCTGGGACCACTTCCTGGCCACCTTCGGGCAAATCGAGGACTTGGGAGAAGTGAACCTCGACTTCACAATATGCGAGGTTCGGGTACTGAGCAGAGTTATGAATCAGCGCGGAGATTTTGCCCTGTCGCATCTTGCTAGCGCGGAAGCCAAACACAAATAAGAGCGAATCAATCACGTTGGATTTTCCAGACCCGTTTGGTCCAACGACAGACGAAAAAGAGGCGTGGAACGGACCAACAATCTGCTGCCCGGCGTAACTCTTGAAGTTTGTCAGAATAAGGTTCTCAATAATCATGCGGGGCTTGGGCGCCGCAGGCTCCTCGGGCGCTTGAGGGGCTTGCGTTCTGGACTTGGCCACAATGTCCATAGGCCTCTCCAACACTGTCGAGTTCGGGTTTATAATGGAAATCTGAGATTTGGGCTCTTCGAAGTGTTTCGATGGTGACTGGTTCACGGCGGATTCGGTGATATCGGACAAAGGTGGCACGCTTGATCGGTGCGCTCTTTCTTGAGGAGGCTCTGGCGATTGGGATGGCTCTGGAGTTGGAAGTGAGCCCTGTGCCGGCCTGGGTGTGATTGAGCCGTGACTCTTGCGGGGATGAGCCATACTTTTTCTTTTCAACGCCGCTTTACTGGAAGGAGATTCTGGATCGGCTTCCATTGACGCCATACTAACACCCTCGTCGTTCTCATCGTTTTCTTCGTCGATATCCATCGCATCAGCGTCCACCGCGTCGGTGTCCACTGCATCGGTGTCCATCGCATCGGAATCATCTGTTGTCGCTTCTTGGGGCTTGCTGGCAGGGCGCACAGTAGAAGGTGTCACAGGATCTAGTGTCATTCTTTTACTCGATGATCTTCTTGCTTTCTTAGGGACTGGGGTGTAATCCTCCTCGACCTCATCATCGTTATCGTGCGTATCGGGTGTTGGTGTCACATTTCCGGGGTCCTCCGATTCAGATGTATCTTCGACGACATAACTCCGGCGGGGAACAGAGCGGCGCGAAGCCCTGCCCTTTGCGACTGAAGCCATGTCTGTGCAGGTCAGTCGGGTGTCTACTGCATGGAGGGGCGATAGTGTTTTGACGGAGGTTTTGTCGGTTGAAAGTGGGTTGTTTACCTCGTGCCCAAACGGGTAAAGTGGCCGCCGTTCTGCCACAACAAGCGCTTCACCGCCACATCCCGCTGTAATTTACCACGGTAATTACTCCTCCGCGGAGCTTATGGAGATCAGCTTGGGAATTGTTCACACAACCTATCACTCCTCTTATTATGCCCAGCATGGCCCCATGGGAGAATTTCGACCAAGTCTTCTCATTTAATAAGAAATATTCATATGAACCAAAAGTTTTCGACCAGATCCTATCCAGCCGGCGCTCGTTGGACCAACTCTTTGCCGATCGGCTCTTGGGACTCCTCGGCATCCAAGGAGGTATTGTGACTTGAAGCTCTGCGCGTGAGGCCTTGTGCTAATCAACCACTTCTCTGTAGTCACCAAGATCTATCCGCCGAAGTCCAATTCGGATCTTCGAACGCTGTTCAACCACATTGTTTCTTCCGAACTCGACATCCATCACAAACAATCCTTGATATATTACATCCTCAAGGACTGTCGCACTGCGCCGGAAGCTTCGTCTCAGTTTGCGCAACAATGCCACCTCCCAGAAAAGTACCGTCTCTTCATTGAAGGTCTTTGGCATTTGGATCGACTCGATTTCAGGGTGAGTTGTGAACGATCTCCAAGACGGCCATCTTCTGACAATTACATGATATAATAGCGAGCAGTGGAATATCTTGCTGAACCCTCGCTCATCCCAACCTTCCCGGATGAGATCCTCTACGTCCTTACCCTCACAAAGCTTCCCAAACACGATGACAGCCTCGCAATCGCATATTACCTAACTGCGGCTCCTCCTCTTGCAAGCGCAAAGATCCGCAGAGCTTTCTTCGATACACTCGCCCGATCCAACGTCACCGAGGCATTCTACTTCACGCGCAAGTACGACGATACCCTCCGTCAGAGCTTTTTTGAGCAGTTGGTGGAATTTGTTCACAGGGCCACTCCTGGCCAAACTAGAAGCAGACGTGCGATGGAACTCGTCGGTCTTCCGCTTGACGAGGATGAGGAACAGTGGTTTGAATATGTCTTACTGCAGGGCAATGCCAGTACCCTTCCTGGAGCTAAGGATACTGTGATGATGCGACGCCTTGCAACTGGAAGAACTGGTGAACTCAACCCGGAGCTAGAATCTTTGGGTGGCAAAAAGGTCGATGGGTTGAATTGGGATGACCTTCGGGGGAGCATACGACACACGTAGATGATATACCCAACCAGTGATCTCATACTGGATTTATTGATTACCCAAAATTGAAATAGTAGTCAGAGTTAATGGTTTAAAATGATTTTGAAAGATTTCTAAATGATATTTTGTCCTCCGCCAGGTACATAGATAGTACTTGGGAGCTTCCCGTGCCAATATATACAACTCTTTGTTGATCAAATTGCATCCACTATGTAGGTTGGACTGGGTAAATGGGCTTCTATGTCATGAGACCCTTTAATCTCATTTTTAGACAAAGATCAAACTGATAAAAATCCATTCTCATGCTCTCAAATACTAAAGAAGCGTGCTATACAAGAGCGCCGGGATTGCTCTGTAGGCGTTCCGATAAGATACGGACCAATTCCGTGAAAAGTCCCAACCACAGGAGTTCAATGTTTCTCTTTTCACAATAACCAACCCTATTCTTGCTTTTCTCTCAAATTGCTTGATCATAAATCGAAGGTCGTATATCCATTTGAGGGAAGGTGTCGAGATACAGGCCTTGCTTTGAAGGGGTGCACTTGAGCAAACACCAGAACCGCAAAGATGGTGGTATGCAGCTTTTTCCAGCAGGGTCGCTGCAAGTTCGGAGGTATGAATCCCGCGAGTATAGAGAAATCAAGTCACTAATGTATTTTCAGATCGCTGCAAGTTCGAGCATCCTGGCAAACCCACTGCTGGTGCATCGGGGAACCGATTCGGTGCTTTATCCGGAGGGTTTGGAGGTACGTCAATCGAATTGTTTTGATTCACCTCTGCTTAATCCGAAGAGCCCATTTATTGGACGTCTATTGTATCATGCGGTTGAATGTTCGATCTCTATGTTTATCTGTTCCCCCACGCTCTCTCTCCTGCTCCTACCCTCCTACCCATCCTAATTTTACCCCAACCTCCTTCGATTCTCAAGGCGCAAGAGCGCAAGAGATGTTTCCCTATGCAAAACTATTATCAATCCTGTGAATCACGCGCCACTTTCAAAGCCTAACGGCAAGTCTACGACAGGTCAGAACCAAACTCAACGAGCAGCCGAGTAAGTCATTCCCAGCGCCTTGCGTGCATTGAAAACTGACAAAAGGGCAGCCCAGTAGTGAAGGCAAGCGAAATCAAGCAGGATTTGACCGCAGGCCAGGGTCGTCCAGAATGGATCTTCTCTGCATATGCGCCTCACAGAGATGTTGCACGCCAGCTGTTCGGTGGAGCTCACCGCGAGCGCAGTATGGAAGAGATGCGCCTGCGCCATTATGAATTAGCAGCATCCGGCAACCTGAACCAAGCGGTCCAAGAAGCCTCGGCTCTGTGGCAAGAGTGCGTGCAACAGATGGAGATCTCACTGAACGACCTGAATGGCGCTGTCAAATATGTTATTGATGGCAAGGATGAACATCCCAATCGACACGACATTATCGAGGGAAAGACTCAAACTAGTATGAACCAAGCTCCAGCGCCATTTGGCCAACCCTCTCCATTTGGCCAGCAAAATGCCGCCCCTGCACCTGGAGCGTTCGGCGGTCCTTCCTCAACGTTTGGCCAGCCTTCAGGACTTGGTCAGTCAGTTGGATTCGGTAGGGCTTCAGCACCAGCGCAGCCCACTAGTATGGGCCAGTCTACGGCCTTCGGACAGACTTCTGCCTTGGGTGGCTCCGCCTTCCAAACGTCCACCCTAGGAGGGCAGTCTGCCTTCGGCAAACCAGCTTTCGGCCCGCCAGGAGTTAACCCAAGCCCATTCGGTAAGCCGTCAGTCCCAGGAGGTGGCGCCCCATTCGGTGCTCCATCCGTCGCTTCGCCCTTCACTCAAGTAGCTCAGAACCAGCCCGCTGCTGGTGGGTTCGGTCAAGCCGCTGCTCCGTCACCTTTCGGTCAAAACGCTGCACAGGCCGCCCCGTCACCATTCGGCCAGCCGGCTGTCAATCCGAGCCCATTCGGTCAGCCCTCAGCTCCAGTAGGCGCCTCACCATTTGGTCAGCCGTCAGCCCCGGCAGGCGCCGCCCCATTCGGTGCTCCATCTGCTGCTTCTCCCTTCAGTCAAGTATCTCAGAACCAGCCTGTTGCTGGTGGGTTCGGCCAGCCTGCTGCACAACCTGCTCCGTCTCCCTTCGGCCAGCCTGCAGTTCAGGGCGTGCCGGTGCAAAATGCCAATGCCGGCCCGCGTGCATACATCAAAATCGAAAATCCTCAAGACCTTAACCCGCTTCCACAACTTGAGGGTGAAACCCGACATAACCCATCCAACAAACAACTAGTGATGTGGAAGGGCCGCCCTGTCAAGTATATCAACGAGCACCCGTGCTACCTTCACCCACAAGACAACAAAACCTTTGTCCGAATCAACTTCCCTAATGGGCCGCCTGATGCAGCTAGTTTGAAAGACGCACACGGCAAGCCTGAGGAATACACACCAGAAATCATTGAAGCATATGAGTTTTTCCTTCAGAATGGCTACTTCAAGGACGGCAACATTCCCGCAGTACCTCCCAAACAGGAGTGGCTTAGTTTCGACTTTTAACCACTGAAGCCGAGATACCATCTATTTGTCTTTACCTTCTTTTTGTTTGTTACTTTACCACGCGTCTCATGGGTAGGACGTGCATCTCGTTTTCATTGTGTCACAAGGAGCAACATGTTCTGGGCGTGCGGAACATGGGGACTGGCGCTTAGGAGCTCAACAAACTCGATTTATGAATGTAGCAATTGCAAGCGCCTTAATTTGACTGTGAATATGAACCAAACTACGGTCTGTAGACCACTACTGAGACTCTTTTTGTGTTTCAAGATGTTTCCATTTTTTATTTTTGAAATTTCAGGTCCGAACGGAATCCCCCGTATCACGAAACAGGTCATGCGGGCCAGAACCAGCTCCAAAGTCGTGCTGTGCACTCCAAATTGGCTAGTCCATGATCCCTCCCTGAGTCAAGCCCAGCTTAGCGCATTTATGCGGCAATGGTGACCTCAACCTCAACACCAGCCTCGATGTTGATGATGATCTGCTTGACGGTCTCGGTGGGAGCAAGGAGGCTAAGATAGGATGTCAGCAACTGTATCTGCTAGGTGCCGAGGCGACAGTGCTGCAACTCAATAGGGCAGGGGAAAACTCACTCGATGAGACGCTTGTGGATGCGCATCTCGTACTTGTCCCAGGTCTTGGAACCCTCACCGTTAGGGGTCTTACGGGTGGAGATCTGGAGGGTCTTGGTGGGCAGACGGACGGGGCCCTTGACCTGGAGGGACTTGGAGCGAGCACGGTCGATCAGCTCCTGGCAGACCTTCTCGAGGGAGGCAACCTTGCGGGAGGTGAGGGTGATGCGGATCTTGTGGACCTTCTGTAGAGCGGAAGAAGCAATTAGCACTGAGTTTGCATTGGCGAGGTCCATAACACGTTGCACGAAGCGACAGCGACAGCGAGGTGCAACAGCGATGTGCGACAGTGACCATTGGGTCAGGGACAACGTACAGGGCCCTCGCCGAAATCCTTCTCGGGCTTCTGGAAAGACATCTTGAATTTGTATGGACTGGAACGGGTTAGTAATTCGATTCGGGAATTTCAAGAGTTGGAAAAAGGGAGCGCGCACAAATTAAAAGGCGATTGCCGTCAAGACCTGAACTACTAGGCTCGGTAAAGTGATGATGGCTGTTGAGGTGATGTGGACCGAGAATTCCACATCCAAAAAGTTCAGTGCGAAAGTCTTGGCGCTTCGGCTATCGCACGCTAAACCATTTTGGGTCCCCTCACAGTAATTGCTTATGTCATCGCTCAAAGAGGACATGAGACCGCCAAGTGATGGCATTCGAGATGATAATCATGAGCTGACAGGTGCTTGCGCGTTTTTCCTTTTGTTCTTGCTTTTCTTTACTTTCATATTGTTCCCAGATTCCCAGTCATAATCACCCTAGTTCGTCCCAATGGCGGAGTTCCCGCCGCTGGCTCCAGTGCCCTCCCCCGCAGTGCGGAGGACAATCCCCTCAAATGACTGGGAAGCTTGTCTAGATGCATGGATGGCCCTGTTGGGGATCCGCCTGAATGCATCTGATCAGCGGTTTAAGGTTGCAGCAGCTGAAGATGCATCAATACCCCTATTCCTGGGTTCGTACTATCAATACACGGCTGCTGGTGATTCCAGTCTACCAAGTGGACCTAAAGCTCGACAACTTCGGAAGCTCTGTTTTCTGGCGACAAGAAGATACATACTTGATCTTTCCAATCCACCAGACGGAATAATGGACTGGAGGCTTCTCGGCGATTTATGTTGCTGTTACCCTGCTAGCGCGGCCTTAAAGACGTCATTATCAAGTGCCTGGGATCTGCACCAGGGCAAGATCACTTCCAATATTGAGAGAGCAAAAGCTATTGTGATGAAAAACCTCTCTTTCGCCAATTCATCCTCAAATCCCGAAGTCATTTCTGATATCCGCCGTCTGACCATCCTTGCTTCAGTGCTGCCAGCATGTGGCCAGGAGCTCATGGCGGGCTCCGACTTCCTGGACACGATATCGGAAGCCTACCAGTCAAAAGGTGCCCGGGATGAGTTTCGTAAGATTCTCGTCGCTAACATCTACGTCGGGCTCGTCTCCTTATTGAAGGAGCCCGTTAATTTGTCTGCGTTATTAGATCAGCTGTTCAGCCTCAAAGCGGCTGCTCGAGTGGGAGCACCGAAAATGAAGAAGGAACCCACTCTACTCTCTGATCTCATCTGCAGTTCGGACTTGCTTATTAGGCTGGAGAAGTATTTGAACATTCAACCCCAGAAACGGGGCCAAGACCTCATTGCCAGCTTGCGCTCCTATCAAGTGGAATCGAAATCGCTACACCATCGGTACCAAAGACGCAAAAAAGTGGACAAGGGAAAAGGGGTGTCCTCGGATCCCATTGTTTCAGGAGAACTTCACGCGCACAAGATGTCACTTGTCACTCAAGTGCAAGACCTCTTCCCAGATCTTGGCTCAGCCTTTGTTGTACGGCTACTGGACTTCTACAACGACAACCCCGAGACCATCGTCGCCCACCTTCTCGACGACTCGCTTCCTCTGGAGCTCCAGTCTCTAGATCGATCCGAGCAACTGCCTCTCCCAGAAGAACCTCACCATAGCCATCTCCCACCACAGCCAACACCACCTACCATGCCATCACCTAACTTCGTGCCACTCCCAACCCGCAAGAACATCTTCGACAAAGATGTGGATATTGCCGAACTAAGTCGCTCCGGCGAAGCGCAAGGGAAACTACACTTCGGCCGCGCGGACGCAGATCAAACAGCCGACGCAATGCTCGCAGACCACAGCAAACACGCTGCAAACAAAGCAGCAATCCTCTCCGCCCTAGCAACATTTGACTCAGACGACGACGAACGCGACGACACCTACGACACAGCCGATGTAGGCGGCGCCATCGACGGAGCCACAGGTGGCACAGATGGCGAAGCCGACGCAGCTCAGCGCGACCGCCGGGCAGCTGATATCGAAACAGTCCTATTCCGAGCATACAAGTCCAATCCAGGGCTTTTCGCTCGCGACTCAGCGACCCGCCGCTCACAGCCGCGCGCGTTATTGAAGCGCGAAGCCGAAATGACTGACGAGGCTATTGAGGGCTGGGCGCTCATGCTATCGCGTGATCCCAAGCGTATCGCTAAACTCGAAGACCGGCTGGCTATGGACGCTGGCGGGTCGGTTGGTGCTGGGCCACTCAACCAGCCCGAGTTGCGTCCTACGTCTTATAGGAGACCACAGCCTCGTGAGGACGGGGATGAGGGTCCTGATGAGGGCGAGTTCTCTGGTCATGCTGGTTCTCGAGGTGGTAGAGGAGGTGGTGGACGTGGTGGTCGAGGACGCGGTGGCGGCGGTCGTGGCCGTGGGGGCCGTGGTGGTTCTGGCGGCCAGGGGCAGCCGGATACCGCGGCGTCGAGACAAAGGAAGGAAGAGAACAAGGGTAGTCGGGCAAACCACAACCGCCGACAGCAGCACGCAAAGAAGATGGCGCGTGGCGGTGGGTTGCCTGGCTAAGCATACGGGGGAACAAGTTGGCTTATATGGGCAATGCGGTATAAGAGCCTTGGTCACTTCATCTTCGATGTCTGGTAATGACCATGGATGTAATTTACATACAAATTTGTTCGGCTTCTATAGCAAGAGCCGCGACGCATTGAAACAGAACGCATTCAAGTGATTCATTAATATACCTCAACACATAACATGTGGTATAGGCAGTCGTGATAACATGTTTACACAGGGAACTCGTACTTGGCCAGCAAGGAACTGACGCTTCGTATCAGTGGTGATCTGAGAAGACTCCGCCCTCGGCAATGGACTTGCGGCACTCCTCCATGAGGCGGACCTGTTTTGCGACATCACCAAGCCGGCTGATAACCTCCTTGTTGCCGTCATAGAAAGTGAAGATGGCATAAGGGATACCAGTATCGCGGCAGAATTCTATGACGAACTTCTGCGTACGACGCAGGTTGTGGCGCGGGATCCGCGGGTAGAGATGGTGAATGGCCTGGAATTGCAAGCCGCCGTGGAAGAAATCCAACCATGTCGGGCAGTCGACGTCCATAGTGGTACGGAGCATCTTCTGCGCGAAGGACTCACCAACGCCTAGGTCGGCGGTTGACATAGCGAAGTGGGATAAGGTGATTTGGACGTGTAGTGGGGAGGAGACGATGTGTGAGACGAGGAGGAAGATGATACGGCTGCTTGCATCGGGAAGAGTCTTGTACATAACACCGTAGCCAAACCAGGTCCAAAAGAAGACCTGTCCGACCAGCTCAAACCAAACATGCCACCAAGCGGGGCCCCTTTTAGGAGCTTGTCCCTTCAGTAGATACTCCCAACTCAAAACATAGAGATTGAAACGAGCGAGCATCATAATGGGGTAGTAAGAGTAATTCTGGAATTTGAGCAAAAATCGAGCCGGGGCGTCAAAGGTCATGATTCGATCATAATAGGTGCTCCTAAGACTTGTAAGGAAGCGATGCGAGATAGCGAAGAATGGGATATGCTCGATATCTGGGTCATGCTCTGGTTCATTGGTCACGATGTGGTGGACGTTGTGGCTTCGTTTCCACCAGCCGAGACTCAGTCCTCCGAGATAGTCTGCGATGAACATTCCAATCACAGTATCCACATGGAAATTGTGTGTAATTCCCATATGACCAGCATCATGGGCGGTGAAAACAAGCTGATGCCAGAAACAGCCGAGGAAGAATGCCGAGGTCGCCCACCATCCCATACGGAGGAACATGTAGGAAAGACCGGCGAAAAGTGTGTACCGACAGCATTCAACGAAGTAACAAGAGTAGTTGCAGTCGTAAAGTCCTTCAGCCTTGATGCGCTCGTTCAGTTCGCGATACTTTCGTTTGATCTCTTCCTGACTTGCGGGATCCAAAGACGGATATTTGGCAGTGTCTAAGATGATTTCCTCCCGTGTTCTCGCATCCAAGAAGGCAGGCTTGGCCTGGGGTTGATCGGTCAAAGCGGTTCCGGTCGGTTTCCGTTGACGAACTGTGGATTTCGAGTCGACCGCATCGAATATTGGCGAGGGAGGAATTGATCCATCTTGACTGGAGCCACTGAAGACTTCTGGGGTTGTTGAATCCTCATCGCTCGAGCACGTGTCTTCGGTATAGGCACGGAACTTGCCGCCCTGGATCGGGGGTAGAAAGTTGATCCATGTTCCTTCAATTCGTCCAATCTGGTACGAGTGCATACGCTGGCGGGCTTCTTCGGAGTGTAGCCTGTATGGGACGGGATTCAATTAGACTGATCGGAGGTCGTGGTGTTTGCCGTTCTAGAACATACGCGTTGATCTCATCTGTCGCATCCCTGCCCACCATGTGCTTGATTGGCTTCTCCCCTCCGGGATGATATTTGATGAATGGGTCTACCCTCAGGACACGGTTCTCGAAAATTATGACATGCTTGCCTTCTGCTATTAGGCCTTCAATATATCGTCGAGTCAAGAGGGTGTCCTTCCGGGACGGTCGGAAGGCGGTCTTCTCCATCGTATGAGATGCGGTGAGAGGGTGAATGTGCGTAAGGTCCGACAACAACGCGGGTTTACAGTGACATTGCTGAGCGTCGAAGTAAGCAGCGCACAAAATGCATGCAAAATGCAAATGAACAAAAGCAACAAGAATGAGACTGAAAAGGCAGAAACGTTGCAAGGGCTATGGGGCGGAGGTGGATAGCAGCGGGGGCTTGATCAGCCCATGTGATTGTCCATCTTTCACATTACCAACATACCTCGAGGCACGTACATTTTTTGACATGGCAGTGAGTTTCAGATATAAACTGTTTGATTAGATTATTCTGACTGGTCTACAGCAATCAATTTCCTCTTTGACTGAGCAATGGCTCCAATGGGACCAGGTCAATACAACTCATGTTCCATCCCGTGGCATGATCCCGCTGACTCGGAGATTAGGATCCTACAACTCGCGTGGAAATAGAGCAACTGCGGGACTCTAACGCCACTGAGGAGCTGGAAAAGCGCCTTCGGAATCGTACGCCCTATGTTAATGCCTTTCTCTATGCGTTTCTAATTTGTGTATACATCTAGGTATTGAGTTCGGAACAGCTGGTCTACGAGGCCGCATGGCCGCTGGGTTCTCCTGCATGAACTCTTTGGTAGTCATACAAGCCTCGCAGGGGCTGGCCAAGTTCATTCGAGACAAGCGTTCTGAGATTGCTTCTAATGGTGTGGTCATCGGACACGATGCGCGTCACAATTCTGCGAAATTCGCCGCACTTGCTGCTAACGCTTTCATCGCGCAACGTATCCCTTTTTGGTTCTTCAATGAGGAAGGCCCAACGCCGATGGTAGCGTTTGGTGTCAACTATTTCGGCGCTGCTGCAGGTATTATGGTGACAGCGAGCCACGTAGGTCTACTCCGAAACTACTTTTATAGATGCATTGGCTAATTGGCTCGAAGAATCCACCCCAAGACAATGGTATGTTAATCATTTCTGAGGCCGTAAAGTAATTGCTAACTGTTTCATAGGCTACAAAGTGTAAGAATATTGGATGTATATTATGGAGACTGCTGACAAGACCTCTTTCATAGCTACTCAAGCAACGGCGCCCAGATCAACAGACCCGAGGACGGGGAAATAGCACAGTCGATTCAAGAGAACCTTGAGCCATGGCCGACCGCATGGGCGGAGTTACAGCCAGGCGAATTCCTGCACCCGGACTCCTACCAGGAATTGCTGCCTCACTACAGCAGCCAAGTCGCAAAGTTCACGGTAGGTTGTGGGCTATATTTGAAGGAGATCAGTCTAACGGGTTTACTCTAGAAATCTACGGTAACCGATTGGCAACCACCAAGACCATTCGTTTATACGCCTCTGCATGGTGTGGGAGGTTTGGTTCTTCCAAATTTGTGCCGCTCACTTGGAATCAGCGAATTTTCATCCGTTGCGGCTCAGGAAAAGCCTGATCCTGACTTCCCCACTGTGAAGTTCCCAAACCCGGAAGAGACTGGAGCCTTGGATCTTGCTATCGAGACTGCCGAACAAGAAGGAAAGACCTTGATCATCGCAAACGACCCCGATGCGGACCGCTTCGCCGTAGCGGAGAAAGTGGAGTAAGTCTTACTTTCCCGAATGCCGTCAATTGACCCTAGCTAATATGCTTTCCAGTGGGAAATGGCATACTTTGACCGGAAACCACCTCGGTGTTCTTTTGGCGTCCCATATCTTGGATTCGTTCGATGGCAGCAAAGATTGGTCCCACATAGCCGTGCTGACCACAACGGTGTCGAGTGGGATGCTCGGAAAGATGGCAGCTGCAAAGGGAATCCACTTTGCGGAGACCCTGACAGGGTTCAAGTGGATGGCTAATGTTGCCCGGGACTTAGAGAAAGAGGGAAAGACAGTTCCTTTTGCATACGAGGAGGCACTGGGATACATGTTCCCATCTGTTTGTTATGACAAAGACGGCATTACAGCAGCTACGGTTTTCCTTGCAGCGGAGGCGAAATGGAGAGCCCAGGGATTGACTGCATATGCCAAGCTACAGCAACTGTTCGGCAGATTTGGCCATCACGAGACCTTGAATAACTACTTCCGATCACCCGATCCACAACTCACCTCAACATTGTTCCAGGGCATTCGAGGAAGCCCAGGCCTCGCGGATATGCAGTTTGGTCCATTCAAGATTTTACGATGGAGGGATTTGACCGAGGGCTATGACTCCGGCACCCCTGATAACAAGCCGGACCTACCTCAAGATCCGACAAGCCAGATGGTTACGCTGTGGTTGAATGGTGGGGTTCGCTTCACATTCCGAGGATCGGGGACGGAGCCCAAGGTCAAGTGTAAGTCTCCCCACTCTATTTCAAGCGAATCGGTTACTGACAGGTGGACACAGTTTATATCGAGAGTTGTGGAGATTCTCGTGAAGAGGCCGTCAAAGCAGTCTGCGACACATTCCTCACTATTCGGGGAGAATGGGTACAGCGGTTTACCCCTTCGATGACATACAGCAAGCAGCTTTCCACATCATCTGGTGATGTTCTGAACGTTGAATGAAGAAGTTCATTGGAACGAGGTGGGAAACCCGTCTCGAGAATAGCTCCACTATCCGTTATTGAATATCACATATTGTAGCTGGTAACAAGGCGTTTTGTAGGAATTGTGCTTTTCCAATTGCATCTCTTAATCCACTCTACACTTTTGTGTCTGCCCCACCCCATACAACCCATATATGCCGAGAGAGGGCCAAGCATTTCAATTATGACATTACTTGTGTACCGCGAATAAGTTACATAATTCTCTAAAGATCCTGAGGTCATAGTCATCATAAAAAACAACTGTAAGAAGTGTGTTGTTCCTCGAATTAATATCAAGGGAATTTGCGGTATCACTACAGTCGAATTACTGCAATTTCATTACCCGTTTTTCCTGAATGGGCACAATACTCTGCTTACTCGAGCTCCAGCCCGGCCGCACCTCCCTCAGGAATAGACTGCAGAGAGCGCGTCCTCCACAACTTTTGGCCTCCCTGGTGGGAGCCCTCCTTCAGGGACGTCTGCGAAGACCTGTCCCCGAGACGCGCCAGGCTCTCTTTCAAAGCCTTAAACTCCTCCTCTAACTCTGCCTGCCGATCAGAGAGCTCGCCCAAGCGCGCCGGGGGAACCTCGTCTTGCATCTCGTCATCCTTAATCTTCTCTTTCTTGCGGCAGCACTTTCGGCATGCCCATTTAAGGGCTGCCTTCGATCAACCTGCTCAGAACGATGGACAATAACACTAGAAACTTGTCTAGCTTGTGGTACGTGTTCAGCACCTGCTCATGAGGCGGCGGGCAGTTGCAGCTACACAGCGGGTCGCTGCGGTGTTCAGCTACTCTATGTGGAAGTAAACAGCCAGCGAATACGCCACTTGAAGTACGTGGCATACAAGTACTGGGATAGACTTCATTCAGCCAGAAGCTGAATTGGTCTCCGCTAAGCGTGCCACTCCATGACCATTCCAGCAATGCTAGCGGAGATAAGAGTCCGTGTCATCGTCTTCGGCATCATCACCTTCGGCAAGCAAAGGGACTCCTCACGCCGCTGATGATAGCGGAGACAAGAGGTCAGAATTTGTCCATGGCCTTAAATGTTGTCAGGACTTGACCAGGGCAGGCGGAAAACTACAGTTGCACATAGCGGCGGGCTCTAGAATAATAACCCAGATGCTCGAGGGTGGCAAAAGAGACGAGGTGTCCGTGATACTGACAGAGTAACCAGAGCTTGAGCTGATCGACGCCGGGGATAGCGGGAGATGTTGTTCTTCTTCCTCGCTGGATCAATTCAAACGTCGTCTATGAATGTGTCGGGTGTCATCAGGTAAAGGAAGGCTGACCAGCCCCGGCTCTTGCAGGGTTATGCACGCAAGGACCCTGAGCTGGCTGGTGTTTATTCTATTCAGTCGCCCCCGGTGCTAGGTAAACAAGCCGAAGACATGATCCGAAGGGGACCCAGCCACAGCAGGGGAGCGGACCGATCATAGCAGATATTGTGGCAATCGGCTGCTGGCATCCCGAGAAGGGACACCCCCTCAAGGCGGGGCCGAGCTTGTGGACGGTTCGAGATCTAGCCGGTCATCTCCGCGTCTTCGTGTACCGAAAGCCATAAGAATATGAGACAAGTCAATGTAGGCACGTCAGAGGAGATGGAAGAGCCACGAGCGAGTGAAGGACGTTTTGATGTCCGGCTGTAAGAACTCGTATCGGAGAGTGCTTGAGGATAACCTATCGTAACCGGCCTATGGTAATCAGCGGAACGATAGCTGCAAGTAGCCAAATAATGGTAATATGGGGAGTGAAGGAAGAAGAAGAAGAAAGGAAAACAAAGTAAAAGAGGAGAGCCTTCGTGCTTTCGGGATGGCTGCTTGGAGTGGGCGGAAACATCACTGCGGCCTTGGTGTATATATGCAGTAGTACTCCAAGGACCTCGACGTAGTTTCCATCTCGGGTGGTCACTGAATAGTCACACCACTAGTAGAGGTCAAAACAAGTTACTTGGGTTAAATCTGCCGAAGAGGCTCACCTTGGAATCGTTGTTGATCTTCAGGAAGACGAATATATACCAATCCGGTTCTATGCCGTAAATGGTGCAGTCCTTCTTCTTCAGCTCCTTGCCCTGGCGGTGCATACAGACTGCTAAACGGGTTAGCTTCAAGATATATCATATAATGGGAAGTGTCAGTGGATACTTACCCATATAGCCTAATGCTTGTGCCCTTCCCACGGTCGTCATGATGGGTTCTTTAATGCGTGGAGAAGTATATCGTCGTGACCTGGTGAGATTGAAGTTCCGCGATAGTAGAAGGTGTGCAGGTCGGAAAGTCCTTTCTTGCCTGACTGCATAGTGTGTTATATTGTGGGCGTGTGACATAGCCCTCGGCGATGGAAAATTGAAGGCGTAAGATAGCCATACGCCGTAGATGGTCGATTCTGGAATGTGGTGGAGGTATGCACGGATCTCCTAGGTGGTATAACCTCTGAACTACTCTCTGTGTAAGTAAATACCCAGGTAAAGACGTACCACTGATGGTAGGTACGCACAAGTGGCTGTACAAATTTTGGCCAGATCACTAAGCACCTTCAGGATGGGCAAAGTGCTGGTGACTTTATTCTCAACTACGTCAGCATCGTAGTCCCTCTCACACAATCAATTCGTCAAGATGGGCGCTGGGACATAGGATCATGAGATACACTGGATGACTTACAAGAAGAGTTATTGCGAAACAAGCCAGAAAAAGAGCTTTGCTCTGGGGAACCGAAAGGCTCTATGCCTATGTGATGAGTTTGATAGAGTTGTGTGATCTTTGAGGAACGTCGTCGTTCGCCATGCTGGTAGGATTTGTTGATGAGTTCGACTGTTTTTGATGGATGTAGTTGTTCTCCCAATGGGTTGGAGTGTCTGAAAGTTTCTAGTATTGTTGAAAGTACAGGTCAACACTGCACGTGTTCGCACCTCCTCTAGGTAGTCTTTCCTTCCATCAGACTTATTGTATGATCCTTCATGGCATCATGGCCTCCCATTTGATAATCTTCTGGTATTACCTACTTTGATATCACCCCGGGGCCCTTATGCTTCTCTTACATTTAATTCGAACTTCCCTCACATTTGTCTCATTCTGCTTTAATTTCTCTTTCAGCTTTCTCATGGCTCAAATATTTAAATTTCCTGATACATTATGTATTGCACTTACATTCATCCATCTGTGGATTTCTAAAATCTGGTATATCTGTCCAGGCTCAAGATGATCCATCTTAGGGACGTTTTATATAATACTCCGATGTGCTACTTGGTTGGTCTGTTTAAATATCATTTTAGACGTCTCTTAGATGTATGTCTCTTTGTCTATATGTCCTTTCTTCTTGATCTTATAACTAAAAGGGCAATGACAGTTTAATATGTACAGTATAGACGACGACAAAAAGCCTAAACTGTAGAGAGGACTCTTCTATGTATAACCAGGACTTGTAGTATAGCAGTCCTCGGTGGGATGCCAAGAGTTACCAAAAAGCAAGTTTAATTCGACCCGTGGACAAGCGCCACAGTGTTAAGCCTCTTTGGGACTATATCTTTAGTCTAGCTCCATTACACCTGGGCAATATCATCGCCCACCGTCTCAGCAACTTCCAAACATTACTTAGCAGTTGCTTTTGATCTTTTGCCTGAACTTTCCATCTCTACTTTTATTTTGGACGTGATCACTCTAGTTGCCACCATGGAAATTCTCCGGCGATTTGGTCCGAACGGTGGAAGAGACCAGATCTCTAATCTTGAACCTATTCCTCTCACGTCTCCTCATCTCGAAGTCCCCAGAAAGAATACCCTCAGCGGCCTTTTTGTTGAGTTACTCCTATCAATAGCGGAATTTCTCCCACCCGAAGATATCTGCTGTCTTTCGCTTTGCAACCATCGATCTTTCACGACATTTGAGAGCTGGAGGAGACGGGAAAAAGTTGAGATTACAAGCCGGTTATCGGTTTTGAATCGACTGGAAGCGGGATGATCCAGAGTACTTCACGTGTTACACCTGCTATGCTCTTCACAAATATGATTACCCACCAGAGAGATTTGGATTATCAGGGCCCATCTATCGACAGTTACCGTAGTCCAAACTCCGCTGTGCGAAAACGGGCGGCTGGCGGTCGACCCCTGAGTTGAGGATGTGTACGCATAGTGAGAACAGCTATAACTACACTCATCACGAGTTTTGTTTTCTTCATCTTCAACTTGCCATGAGACAGTACTACTACGGTCCTCGGTCCGGTATTAGTGCATCCGCACTATCTTTCACTGAAGTCAAGATCCACGTCATATCAACTGCCCTACTTTCTCTCGAGCACAGATATGCGTCGAGAGAAGATCGCCAGTGTTATGCTTACGGATCCAGGACATCATGTCAGTGATGCACTTAAGAGCCGACCGGCTACTATCGGACACGCATGGACGAGTTCCTCCACAAATTTACCAAATTTGCTCCCGTATAGGGGACGATGAGTTATTAGTCTCGATTGAGGAGTTTGTGGAAGCTTATTGCGAGAGAAGGACGCTTTCACTGTTGCGGAGGACATGCGACAAATGCAACAGCGAATATCAGCTTGAGCTGCGTGAATTCGGTAAATTTAATATCGCTTTCTTGATGACAAGATGGATTAACCTTGGTTCTGGACGAACCCCGGATGATCCCCAATGGAAGGTCCATTCGTTCGGGTTACAACACGTTCCCTTCACCCTGGGTTCTGAATATATGTTTTCAAGCCCTCGATTTCTCTTTGAAGCTTCACCTACTACGTCGTTCGAAGCATTGCGCACTCAAAACCTGGGCTATCTAACTGGTCGAGAGTATCGAAATGTGATGAAGAAACTCAGCCGGTCTCCACCATCCTGGGGTCTATGGCATGAGCCAGTATGAAGATGCATGGTCTTGCTTATCGCTAGTATCAACTATTATATCAACTATTACGTATGTAGAATTCAGTTTCTATTCTTCGAGACAACAGGCATGTAGCAAAACAGTAATGTAAGGCCGTAACCTGCAGGTCAATCGAGAATATCAGCCAATTATTGATCTTCAAAATTCCCCCAAATCCGTAAGGCGGACCATCACCTAAGCAAAGCCATCAGACTGCGTTTTGCAGCAAACAAATTCAAAATTCGGACTTCAAAATTGGAACTGGTCAACCTCCCCCAAAAGCCACAACTGTATCTCCAGTAGCGCAGCGACATCATTCATCGGCAAAGCCACCTTAGTCTTCCCATCATGCCAGCCATGAGTGCGTTTGACCAGGCTCAAATCATGACCACGAGGCCGAGCAGAGTCAAAATCGATAATAACAGGGGTATCACCTTGAAACATGATGTTGCACGGGTTGATATCATTGTGGACGATCCCCAGCCCATGGAGATGTTTCAGGCCCCGTGCAATTCCCTCCACCCAACGGTCGACCTCCTCTCGGTCAGCCTCATGCCTCTCGTATGCAAAGTCTATCTTATTGCGTCTTGCAGAGTTTACTCTGACCATAAGCGTTTCATCGTACTTTGTGAAATAGATGCCTCTGATTGAGCCATCGTCGACGACGGCGCAGCCGTGGTATTGAGCGATATTCGGGTGTGGGTTTTTCTTCAGGAGTTCGCACGTTTTCACTTCTTCGATCCAGGTTTCTCTGATGAGAGCTGGGTATTGGGGACTGTAGGGTGAAAGGCTTGGCTTTTTCAGATACCAGGTCGAACAATCCGGGGACTTTTCTGCCTTTGTGAATTTGTCCGAAAACTCTGGGAAAATGAGGGCGCCTTGAATCTTGTTGGTACTATACATGTCGCCAAACTGAATGTCTTCTTTTGATGCATATCTCTTTCGGGAGTATGCTCTGTAGATTGAGCCGGACATTTCGTAGACTACAGTAGTCTTTTGGAATGCGAAGTCATTTTCCGGCCCTCCAAAATCTTCGGAATATTCGAGAATGTACATTTTGAAGGGGGCTGCGCATCAAGTAGGAGGGAAAAAAGAAAAAGCAAGGTCAGCTGAGATAGGTAATGGTAGGGGATTCAAACGGGTCAAGAATCACAGAGTGAAGCGGGTGACCGTCCAGTCACGATTAAAAGTATTTCCCGGGCTGTTTGCCTCAGCCAAGGCTTGTGTGAGGGAAACCAGTGACCTTGGAAGTCAGGAGGAACATCCAAATTGGGAGTCCGCCTTTATCGTCGAATATATGTCTCGGCCTTGGGAATATCCCCCAGTTTCTTTATTCACATCATGCATCATCATCTGTATCGGCAGAGTAAAGCGAGAAGGGATATTCTTCTTCCACAATACCATCACATATTAAGACAACCCGAGGCTGACCGTCATGACCACCACAACCTGTGTCACGTCCAGCAAGACATGCACTGTTCAAGGGACAACCTTCACCTCCATCTAAACAATAGTGAGAGTGACACCATTGAACTGCAGCCATATCGCCTCCGTCAAGCCCCAAGTGCCAAAGAGACGGTTCATTGTTATTTTTGTCCTCATTTTCGAGGTCAGGAACCCTGCCTCAAAATGTAAGTCTGGACTTGTACTTGGGTTGCGTCGGTATTTCTTCACCACTGAACCAATCGCAGGAACAACATCGAATCCGACCCCCGTGTTCACCACAAGACCTGCTACCATAACCGAGATAAAAGCCGATCTATTCAGCTCCCACCCCGATCTCGATCTTCCGACTCGAGTGAGGATGAACAATACCGCTACGACACTGGCCATCATCCTGTTCAAGGAATCCACTCCAATGAGCGACAAAGGCACCCACCCCCGGCCAAGCACTTCCACCCAAAAAGCTCAAATGACCTATTTGACCGCGTCCACCGGCACGCTGAACCACCAGCACGAAGTACTTCTGCTCGTGCTACCGTGTATAAGTCACATGAGAAAGGGTGCGGTAGCAACATAAAAGCCGTTAGATTCGAAGAGGATGGCAAGACGCCTGAATATGGCGAGACCCACCGTTCAAATTGTCCTCTGTATCATACTCCATCCCATCTGGAGGACCAGTATTATTCTCGTCGCAATTCCCATCAAAATGAGCCTCAATCTCGAGAATCGCGAACTTACAGGTGGGTTTGGGGCCCTCCGTTGCCCGCGGCGGTCCCTCGACGTGGAAAGATTTATTAGAGAACCATTGAGACACCTTACAGAATCATCTATTGCTAAAGTATCCACTTTCTACAATTTGCTCGATCAAAAAATGGGCAGAATTTCAGCTGCCTCCATTTTTGTGTACCTACTCTCATACCTAGGTAGAAGCTTTATGCATGCCACAGTCGCAGCCAACGTAAATATATACGTTTGATACCTTTGCAGAAAGCTGGGAGTTGTCGCCAGTAAATTGGCAGGTCGAGACTTCGCGTTTGCTGGAGCGTCTGGCCCAGCTGTCTCTTTTGATCTGGGAAAGAACAGATGAAACCAAGGGATGTGACGAAGCAGCTCCGCAACCCTATTATGTCCTCCTTCGGTTTTTGGCTTTTCCAAAGCCAACGTCCAACTTGTCTGTCTGTATAGGAATTCTCGCAAATACCTCCAACCACTGGGCCACATTCCATGGGACATCATCACATGTACCCCGCACCATAAATACCGCGCAACAAATCCACTTCGCTCTCACAACTCTGAAGTAATTCTATACTTTCACCTGGATGCCATTTTACTCTACTCTCTTAAAATTGCCCATGTTCCAATATGAGAGATGCTGAGGATCAATCCCAACGCGAGGACCACCCCAAACACCAGAATCACCCCGAACATGACCAGCCCGAAAGGGAGAATCAGAATCAGCCTAAACACGAGGATCACCCCGAACGTGACACCGTAAACGAACGCATCGACTTCGAATGGACCCCTGAACTTGTGAAGATTGGAACCTCTCGCGGCGCGATACATCCGTCGATTGGTCCTATCGAATACAACGGCCAACCTAGTTATAAGTACTGGCCTGGTATGACGCTGCCAGACCCGGCTAATACGCGGGAATGTCTGAAGTGGGCTGGATTGTCCGACCAAAAGATCGTTGAGGTCGAACAGAAATTCAATGATGTATATCCAGATTATCAAGGACCCGCCTGTGGGTATGAGGAGAAACATTACCGGACTGGCTATAATAAAATTGTATTCCCTAAGGTCGAGAAAATGTTGGAAATATTCATCCAAGGAATGCATGATGATCATGATGAGTTTGAATACAACCATAGTGAGTCGTTTCAGTTCATGTGATAGGCGCTTCTTAGCTAAAGCCGATGAACTCAATATAGAGGGTTATATCGAGAAGGGCATCCAGCTAGGACTCCGTCTAGAATTCGCCATATTCTGTGGACTACATAAGGACGATCCCCGGGCTATTGATGACCCCCGCCTATTCGAAGAAAAATGGTTTGGTTTAGGCCCAGCGGATATCATGGGTGATACCCTCATACCATTTTGGATCGATGTCGAGGAATTTATAGCAACCAAGTTGGTGTACGAGGGGAAGGCATGGGACGATTGTTATGGAAGATGCTTGGTTCGTGAGGGGGAAAGCCTAGATCAAGCGAAAGCGAGAATGAATGATCAAGAGCGTGAGAGGCTTAAAGAGCAAGCGGCAAAGCAATTCGAAGCAGAATGGGAACGTAAGAGACAAGAGTGGGACAGAAAGTGCGCAGAAGACGAGGCCATATGGGCAGAAGAAGACAGACAGGAGGCGGAGATGCTTCAGCAACAAAACATCGACAAGACCGTTCAGCAGAAGGATAAGGAAGGAACGCAGTAAATTGATGTTGATATTGGGACTGGCAGGTTTAAGACAGAAATATTATGAATGACCTACCATCCCAGCAAACCTAGTACTCGATATGATATCAGTAGAAGTACTTTGGAAGTGTTCATCTCCGTCGATAATTTATAAATGATCGGAGCCATAAAGTGTCAAATTTATACCAATCGAACATAGGATTTCCGATCATGTGTCCTTTCCAGTAGCTCGATTCCGCTGCTCCTCTGTTAACAATATTATTAGCCTATCAGCGCGAGACATATGAGGCGACGGCGAGACCGACGTTGAACGTATTCTAGTCCACAAACACGGCTTGGATAGGATTCAATAGAAATATCAGGTTGTCGACCGAGCCTAAACGCCATTCAGTTCTGCCACTATCGCACGGTTAGTGCTGTACAGTGGAAATCGTTCAATGACTTGAAGGTCGTTAGATGTGTCACTTCGCCGTCTTTCCGACACAGGAACGGTGGCAAGCGAGATCAGCGGAGATTAGCGCAACGATACGCTGGAAAAGAGGAACATGACGAAAGGGAAAGAGGAAGCAAGATTCCACTCAAGTTGTAGGGAAGGCAAGGTGGGGAAAGATCTCAATAGGGAACTTTAAGACATTCAACTTATCAGAAATTATCTGGGACGTTTACACATCTCTACACTGTTTAGTATCCTCTAGCACGGGTGTTTGTCCTAACTCGAGCTCGGTTCAACAGAACTTCCAAGACTTTCCAGGTGGAAAATCAGTTCGATTTCCAGACTTCTAAAGAAACAGCTTTGTCAGGGCTCTTTCAAAAGATCAGCTTTAGACTAAGCAGGTACCAAACCGAATTCTGGCTAAAGAACTTCATCCAACTTTTTGATTGGGGATGAAAGATCTAACTGGTACCAATGCCATGGCTGGAACATTGCGGGGGGCAGACCGTGTAGTTTTAAGATAACGCTACATAGAGATTTGCAGCAAAGCGTGGGAAGATAATTGTCATAATTAGCGGATTGTCGTTTGTTGGATTGCTCGCTTTGCTCCTCCCTTTCCAAATTGGCTGCCATGGGCTGGTACAATATCTGCCAACTTGAACTGTTCTTTAGCCTAGAAGCACTTAGTTGTCAATAATGAGGCGGACGTTCTGCCAATTGTAGGGATAGAGACCGCACTATATGCAATGCACCTGGATGCCATACAGATTCCTTGGCCGAGTGCTTAGCTCCCCCAAGGGATATATCACAGGATTGGCTCCAGTACTATCTTAAGCAGATGCCAAGGCAACAGCAAACATTTTATCCCGGGCCCTAGCAACTCACAAGGCCAACTCAATCCTCAATCCACTCCAGGGACCACACGATTTTTCGTTGTGAACCACGACCAAGACATTTATGTCGAGGGTTGGGGAGAGGAGAGGCCAGCGAAGACTAGAAGGGAAGACCCTCATCTGGCCGGATGTGAATATAATTGGGACAGTGGACCGTTGGAGATGTTGCCTCCAGCACCTTGGATGTTGAACTACGACCCTGACAGAGGTCCATACAACCCAGGAGAACTTCTTTTTTATGCAGACGACCCGACGTTTGAATTTGCATAGGTTGTCTTTCTTTTTCCAATATGCTGTCATCATACACAACCATCTCCCATTCTGTGGGTACCTTATTACCATGTTCCCGTCCACGAGAAATACTTGACCAGGCGATAAACGAATACCAATCTCTGCCTGCCTCTCGACGCTGTCGGCTTTCTTTCGATGTGAACCAGGTGCCAGTCTGAAGAGACCATTCTCAAGACCAAGTGTCTTCTCCGATGGCCGGTAAATATATACGCGATCGTATCCAACACCAACTCTGGGTAGCGGTCTGGTCTTTTTGATGGAGCATGCGACCCCTCTGATGTACAAATTTGATTCTGGATTATCGCCCACTTGGCTCGTAAAGAAGGGGTGGTTGAAGACCTGGCTGGTCAATCCAAGCAAGGAAATTCTGTATCAACGTATCTGCCCTCACTTCTTCATATGTCCGGAAAAGCGACGCACATTGAGACCCCCATCCCAATATGCCATAACCATGTCCGTCGGATGCCGCGTGTCTTGAAAATCGGAAGCCGGCCTTCCACCTCCGCTTTGGCAGTATTGATTGGTGGCCTGCGCATATCGCCATGGTGCCATGCATAAGCGTCCACCGGCGCTTTCCCAAGCCTTACAATTGGTGATATGGCGTGACGAGCATGCAGCATTAGCGCTACTGCAACGGCAGCGTAGGAAGACACGTGTCACTGCTCAGAGATCATTATCAGGTTCTATTTCATATTTATTCCATACTGTTGATCATTTCTCCTTGTAGATCACATATACCTAATGGCGAATGCCTCTATCTCTGCAGATTATCGGAAATCGAATGTTCGCGCTCACAGTTACAAGATGACTGGCGAAGATAGGCAATGACTAACAGTCCTCCATGATCCTACTATTCATTCTCTTGTTGGAGAGAAGTGCTTACCTTTAGACGACGTTGTATTTGAGTACGTATCGCAACTTGTCAGAACAAGTAATTCTGCAGGGAACAATGAATGGAGTTTGACTGGTCGTACAGCCTGGTTGCTATATATGGCTTAAATGGCGATGCAATGGATAGCTGGACGCACGAGGAAACAAAGGTCATGTGGTTGGAAGATCTACTGCCTAAAGCGATACCTAATATCAGGATAATGACTTTTGGGTACAATGCTCGCTTCAAGAACTTCACCGCTCAGCAAGATTTACGCAGCATATCCTACAAATCACTTGCCGAACTAGTTGACTTGAGGACAACACACGAAGTAAGGCTAATATCCGTCCTTCCTCACGTTTATTAACCCATGTGTCTAGGAGGAAAACCGCCCGATTGTCTTGATTTGCCACAGCTTAGGCGGAATTGTCGCGAAAAAGGTAGCCTACATTGCTACAAAACCTCTTACCATAAGCTAAGTGTGCATAGGCATTATTGGTAGGATGCCCTGAAGAACAAGAGCAAGTGCAACGGTCAGTTCATGGAATTTTGTTTCTTCGTAAGCCAACTAGTGCCATATTAGCTGGTATTATTCTAATTTCGTACAAGGCACTCCTCACAATGGCAGTAGCCTTGCATCAATGGGAAAACTTCTGGCGAACATTGTCTCCGCGTGTTCTCCGATTAGAACCCCACGTGCTCTTCTCGGGACTCTCCAAAAGGACTCAGAGGTTTTACTGGAAATCACTGAAGATTTGGTCAGAAGACGACATAAAGTGCGTCTTGTGTCATTCTATGGGCTGGAATTCACATCTATTGGCCCATTTATAAGAAAGCTGGTAACTGTGATCTTCTCTTGTGGTAATTCCGCAGTTCTATTAATGTCAACGTATAGGTCGTTGAACAACAGTCGGCAATTCTCCACATCCCTCAAGAAATCACTGTTCCCCAGTTTTCCGACCACTGCAACATCGTCAGATTCAGATCATCTCAAGATCGCTCTTTTCGCCCTGTGCTGTGCAAGCTTAAAGACCTTGCTCGTGAACTGCAACATGAATCTACTCAGAAAACAGAAGGTAGTTTGAACACAAGTATGTGAATGCACCGAGGATTTTTGAAAAGGTGCTGACGCGCTATTCTAATGTGTAATAGCTCTTGCGATCCCATTCGATATCCCTATCTTGCTGTGTTCCTTTTTCCGCGGTAGGAATAAGATCTTGGAGAGTATGAAGGAATACTTTCATGGACATCAGAGCAAAGATCGAAGAAAAGGGTTTGCAGTATGCGGTTTGGGTATGAATTGTCTGGATTATTCACCGAGTGACTAGCTATGTAGGAGGTTCCAGAAAGACGCAAACAGCTTTGCACTATGCTGTACAAAATATGTCGGAATATAAGACCGGCGTGGCTTTTCTGAATGCAGCATCGACCAGCTCACTAGCAGCAGATTTTGGTCGTCTTCATGACCTCCTGCAGCTTGGGGAAGCAAAAGACAAAGTTCGCTCCGTCAAAAGCTGGCTATCGAAACCTGAAAACTCACAGTGGCTACTTAGTTAGCCCTGGAGCACCATTGGAATTAGTCATTGGTTCGATCAGCAGCGACCCTCACCTGGGCAACCAACACAATAACTACCCCTCGATCCCACTTAGGTGTTTGCGGCACTGACTCCTTACTTTATTGCCAATTACTTGCTCGGGTCCACCCTATCTTTAAGTACCACTAAAATGAGGCGTAGCTATGAGGTACTATAATGAACCCCCGCCGCGTTCGATCTAACAAAGATACAGAACGCCCTCAGTCTCCTTGAGACGCGACGGCGGAAAGCCCGACCGAAAACCCCTGCGGCAACCGCCGCACCCCAAGATTCCCCGACACCTAGCGGTAACTCAACTGTGAAAGGTGTACCTAGTTTGGTCGGAATGAAGGAATGGCTGCAGGCATTGGGACACTCCGTATGGATGCTTAGTAATCTACCTGCCCCTCAGCACCATTGTTCTTACCATGTCTAGGAAAACGACGTCAACAACCTGAATATAATCCATGTTACCGGGACAAAAGGAAAGGGGAGTACTTGCGCTTTTACCAGGTCCTTTCTTCGTACGCATGGCTTGAAGACAGGATTCCCAAAGCGAATTGGACTATACACTTCCCCTGATTTGCAATGCATCCGGGAGAGAATACAGATTGATGATCAACCAATAACGGAAAATCTCTTCACACGGTATTTCTTCGAGGTGTGGGAAACTCTTGCGTCTCTGGACCTAGGAAGAACTGCAGAAACCTCAAGACAACCCCGTTATCTGCAACTTCTGGCTTTGCTAGCCTTTCATACCTTCATTAAAGAAAATGTCGACGCAGCAATATTCGAGACACACCATGGCGGAGAGTATGACGCCACAAACGCGATACGGAAGCCTATTGTGACTGGGATAACGTCTCTGGGGATGGACCATGTTGCACAATTGGGCCCTACGGTCGAGGATATTGCTTGGCATAAAGCGGGCATTTTTAAAACTGGAGCACCTGCATTTTCTGTCGTACAGCAGGCTGGACCTGGTGAAGTTCTACGGAAACGTGCGACCAAAAGGAATACTGACTTAACATTCGTCTCGTCCTCGAGCACCCTTCCTGTCAACAGAAGGGTGCTGAGTGCTCCAGTACAACGATTGAATTGCTCTTTGGCCCTTCAGCTAGTTGGAAGATTCCTGCAGCTCCAGAATTCCGACTATGTACTGAACGCCGATGACATATCTAGAGGCATCGACAGTTTCTCGTGGATCGGGAGATTTGAGGTGATCGACAACGGAAGTTCACAATGGTTCTTGGACGGGGCGCATAACACTCTGAGTCTTGAGCAAGCAGCGGAGTGGTTCTCAAAGGACGTCAATGCTACAGATGCGCCAAAGTAAGTATATACCTTTCATGGTCTTTCCTGATTTGCTAAGTCGAAGTATAACCCAGATACCGTGTCCTTGTCTTCAGCCATTTTTCTGAAGAGCGCGATGGAGTTGATTTTCTAAAATGCCTGGCGTCTGCACTTTCTAAACACGGCGCTAAACCTGATCACGTTATCTTCACTACGTATCACGAGAGAGAAGACATGTCCACGAGAATAGGTGAGAAAATACAGACAGGTACTGTCACCGGATATGGAACTAATTGTTCACTTGTCAGACAAAACACTCAAACTTCCAGAAACACCTTTCCCGGACCTTTGCACAATATATTCTTTGCTTTGGAAAGAAATTCATCCCGTTACTGCAGTCTCAACTGAACCAACTATTCAGGGTGCCATCAGGCTTGCGGAACGGATAAGTATGCAACAAGGTGGCATGCAAGCTTTTGTTACCGGGAGCTTACATCTAGTTGGGGGAGCGCTCAACTTGTTGCGGCCCTAAGTCAACGATCCGATCCACTTTGGTGTTTGGACCATCATGGCCACTCACTGTTTGCCGCTGCCCTTTCAAACGTCACAGTCGCGATGAATATCTTTTCTGAAATACCATGTCGAAATACTATCGGTATGCCCGGCGAAGTAGTTGGTAAGGGAGAAAGATCGAAAAGTGGCGAAGACAATGCGTACTAGGCCAGATCACCTCGCTCCTTATTAATCCATGTAGAACTCTTAGCAATGCCAATGCTCCACAATAAGAGAAACGGGGGACTGCCACTCTTTAATTCAGGTGTTCCACCCTCTCACCCTGCCTATTGCGCACTCACCCCTCTCACCCCTCTCACCCCTGGTCGCGCGACGTTAAAGCGGCGCTCACCTGCTTCTGACCCTGGCAGCACCCACCCGACTACTAGCCGCACGTGAGCCGGTCGTTCGCTAGCAGGTGGTTCTTATCAGCTGAATTGGGCGACCGGTATCTTCCTTTCCCACGAGCTGAACGGCTTGTGTGGGTTGACCGCTTGACCATTCTACCCGGTTTATTAGAGTTATAGCAAACTTTCTGCGCGGGCATATATGATGTCGAGCGGATATTATCAGGTATGAGGGCGAAGAAGAAAGTGGGCTGCGATCCCTAATATTCGCAAAGAACTACTGGTATCTGCTGTGGAAAACGGCCAAACAGCTACAATTGAACGCCTGCTCGACAACGGCGCCTCTACAGAGGGGGTCAATGAATCTGGCCAGACTCCATTGTCTCAAGCCTCCAAACGAGGAGATGAGGCTCTTTTGCGATTATTGCTTGATAAAGGTGCTGACACCGAGGCGGCTGATATTGTTGGCCAAGTACCGTTGGCACATGCCTGCACCAGAGGGCAGGAGGCTATTGTGCGAATATTGCTTGATAAAGGAGCCGCTATCAACGCGACCGATAATCTTGGCGAAGCCCCGTTGTCATACGCCTCTAGATACGGGTATGAGGCTGTTGTGCGAGTATTGCTTGATAACGGCGCTGCCATCGAGATAGTTGATCAGCTGTGCGGAAAGCCGTTATCATATGCTTCTGAACGACGGCATAAGGCTATTTTGCGGATGTTACTTGGCAACGGCGCCCAGCGCCCGGCCACGAGAGGATGGACTAGGTAACGAGACCGTCCATGCTGACCATGGTTCGATGGCTAACAATGTAGTCTTGAGATTGCAGAGAGTTAGTGGAAATTGCCCATCTAATCCCAATAACATCTCCATGTAGAAAATATTATAATGGCGTTGAAAATATATGGCTTGATTGAATTAATCGCTCTCAGGTACTAGACAGTGAACGGTTATGTGGAGAATCCTTTAGCGGCGTATGGATAAAATAGCCACTAGAAGAAACGATCCTCGCGATAAGTTCAATAAAGACTGACGAGTGACTAGAAAAGGGCAGCGTCGATTCACTCTGTAAAAGACCCTGTACTGACTGGAGCGGGAAGAAGAGAGGAAACAAGTATTTATTGAATGATATATGGCAAGACCAAGGACTGTAACTAGGATCAAAGACCTTTTTGATTCTTATTTGTTACTACCGAGAATACACCGTACGATATATATGACTATATATCTCTCGCCTGGCCGGTTATACCTTATTCAGCCTACAGGCTAATACGGGTACGCTCGTCTAAACCTCAACTTCAGACGGCAAAAGTACCGGGTCTCGCTTCAAGATGAGGCCTGTCTACTAATCATTTCTATATTTAAGACACACACTGTGCGAATACCGCACGAATGACCAGCTTACTAGTCCGCTTGATCCAGTGACCGCATCATAAAGCGCTGTTGCTATTTCGGGAGTACTGAATTTCTGTGCAGTGTACGCGCCCAGTGTTATCGCCACCCGGTTTCAATTGAGCTTTGCTTACTAGTCGTTCTATAGTCTTCAACATAGTATGAACGCGCAGAGTGAGAAACGCGGAGACAAACGCCTTCATAATCACCTCCAGTCCGCACGAAGCTGTTGCTACAGAAATAAACCATGTTTTCCTATGGTGCAACTAGTCCTCTACGCCAAGAAATCGTAAACCATAAGAGTTTTAAATCACAAGCCACCTCCGGTAATACGTGTCGAGACGGCGTAGATATTTAGATTCTATTGCGCGATACGTGTCGAGACGGCGTAGATATTTAGATTCTATTGCGCGATACGTAGCTTCGACTTGAAAAAATTACGTAGCAGAGGGAAGATGCTTCTAACAGGCCAATAAGGATGATGAATAAGGTCATAGACTTTGGTTCACTTCAGCCCTTGCCGAAGATAAGCAGCTAACTTCCTGGCGAAGAAGGTGATCCGACAGTACATGGGATGTTACAGTAACACCTCTGGTCGAGCTGTCAGGTACCCCGCTCGGCGTTTGTGTCGTTTGCATATAGGACCGGGCCGTTATTTTCCCGTATCCAATGCCGCACATTATCACCCGCTCACTGCTAACGTCGCACAATTACAAGTGCGACTGGATGAGTTAGTACAGGAGAGGCGGAGGAAGAACTCTATAAGACATTACATACAAGAAATGTTCAGAAATTGATTAAGCTCTCGCAGACCAAGGCAGATTCATCCAAGGTTCGGCGGGAGGGACAGCGCCCCTCATTGTGTGGGCTAGCCGTAGATCAGTCCCGTGCGGGTCCAGGCTAGTCAACTACAATGTTAGGAAATATTGCATCTATGGATGTCTGATGAATTAAGCTTTTACTTTATTCTTTGATTCCTGCTGTGAACATACATATAGAGTCTGTATCAGTAGTATTCCGACCAAAACGTATTTCCGCTGAGTGGATATTCAAAAATTATAAAAAACGGTCGATTTTTACGATGGCTTGGAGGATATTCTCCCCACATGGCTGCTTGTAATTGGCCAATAAGACTGCACATGTCCTTGTCTTTCAGCTGTGCCAACACATCACGGAAAGGCTTTTCACGGTATATGTCGAGCCTACCTTGCCTTCCCCCAAGTTGCATACTAGGTGAGGCTTGCTCAGTGTACAGACTTTTGATATTTCTAAAAATCCGGAAACTGAATCCTGCAACCAAAATGCGACAGTGGTGGAGGGAGAAAAGACAGCATGCCTTCCATCGACCTAAGTCACCCCACCCGCTTCAAACTGAGAGTAAAGCTGGGCAGACGCCTGTTAATCCCGCACCGGTTCCAACAGCTCCAGTCAAACAACGCGATGTAGTCGACAGTCAAGGCCCTTCTATGCACCACGACCTTTGGAAATCTGCCTATGATCAACTATACCCAGAGGAGCGGGATATCTTGTCGAAAGAACGAGTTACCGCCCAACGGGGAAACAACGAGAAGAACTCCCACACTGTGGCTGTCATCGATGGTGTCATTCAGATAACGAAGGAGCAATACAAGGAATACCAGCAAGGAGGCATAAAAATCCAAAGGTCAACAGGAGAAGATATTGACGTTCGAAAGCTCTCGCGAAAGATTCTTAATGCTGCCTTATCCTTCAAAGACATTGTGAACACAGTGGTGTCTTTCGATCCTACCCACCATGCAGCAAGTGCATGGGCAGTCATTTCCCTTGGATTGAGTGTGAGAACCCCAAACATAATCTTAGGGAAGAAGACTAATTGGCCCGAAAATTAGATGACGCAAAACCGACTGGACTTACAAGACGCTTTATTCGAATCTTCCGAATTTCTTGCAGGAGTTCTTTCCGGGTGTGCCTATATTGAGAGCAATTTCTGCCGGAATAACACCACCGGTAAATCTGAGATAGAGCGTGCGACTATCGAGATTTATAAAGCAATCCTTCGGTACGCGGCGGAACTGCTGGTTGTTCAGAACGCTAGTGTCGGAAGGAGAATATTGGACAGTGTTACCCCGATAACCGATCAACGCCTCACGGAACTGCGATCCTCTGTTGAGAATGAATGGCAGAAGCTCCGCCAGTGGGTGCAAATTGATGCATTAGATAACTTATTGCAAAACGGCAAACAAGCAGAGCTTCGTTTGGCCAGAATTGACGAGGAAGTGTCCAAGGTTCTCCGAGTCCTCCAGAATTTCAGTCTGCCCGTTGCAGAAGGAGCATCATACGACTCATATGAGAATCAGCATGGAGAAAAGTGCCTACCGGGCACCAGACGCCACCTTCTTCGCCAGATTACAGACTGGGCCGAAACATCAGACAAATGCATATTTTGGTTAAATGGTATGGCAGGAACTGGAAAGTCTACCATCTCCCGGACGGTCGCAGAGTTGTTTAAAGAGAAGGGGCTACTAGGGGCTAGTTTCTTCTTCAAAAGAGGCGAAGCGGACCGCGGTAACGCAAGAAAATTCTTCTCGACTATCGCAAAGCAATTAATGGCCAGTAACCGGCAATTGGCTCCTAGCATCGCGAGAGCGATTCAGGATGATGCAGATCTGTCAACGAAAGCTCTCAGTCAGCAATTTGAGAAACTCCTTCTTCAGCCACTCAGCGAGGGAGAGCAACATGAGACTACATCCGTGATTGTGATAGACGCATTAGACGAGTGCGAAGGAGACGACATTGAAGTTTTACTTCAACATTTGCCACGGCTGCAGGAATCCAAGTCCATTCGCCTACGGATCTTTCTGACAAGCCAGCCTGAACTTTCAATCCGTCGTGGCTTCAAAGGAAACCAGGATTATCAAGGTCTGGTTCTACAGAACGTGCCCAGTATCGAAGATGACATCCGTATCTTCTTGAAACATAGATTTTCTCAGATAAAGGAAAAACGGGAAGTCTTAGGAGATTGGCCAGGATATGAGACGATGGAAACATTAGTCAAAATGTCTGTCCCGTTGTTCATCTTCGCAGCCACAATCTGCCGCTTCGTTGGGGAGGATTATCAAGTCCCAGAGGATCAGCTTGATATAATCCTCCAAACCCCCAACTTGACATCTTCGTCTCAGATGGAGAGAATATACCGGCCAATACTGGATAATCGCGTCAAAAACTCAACCGTGCTCAAGAGAGACTTCCATACTATAATTGGTGTTATTCTTCTTCTTGCTGATCCACTCTCGGTTAGTAGCCTTTCAGGGCTTATTTGTATGGAAGAAAGAACAATCACGGCTCGATTGGACGCATTTCACTCTGTCCTTAGCGTCCCAAAGGATTCTTGTGCACCAGTCCGCATTCTACATCTATCATTCCGAGAATTCCTCATCAACACAAAAGAAGAAGACATCCGTGTGAATGAGAAAGAGACTCACGAAAGACTACTAAAACATTGTCTGCACGTCATGAAAGATCCCAGATCGGGGCTAACGCACAATATCTGCCGATTATCAAGCTATGGGATACAGCGACGAGATGTTGATAGTCATATGATTGCTCAGTACATTCCGCAAGTTCTGCGATACTCTTGCCGCTACTGGGCGTATCACTTCAGGAAAAGTGAATCTGATGCGTCTGAACTCGAAGCATTCTCATTTCTGAAAAAGCATTTCCTTAATTGGTTGGAGGCAATGAGCTTAATGGGACTTACATCCGAGACCGTTGGTATCATCAATACACTACAGTCGGCGCTGAGGGTATGTGTCCTCCACATTGTCTCATGTTGGCCACTAAAATCCTTCCAGGGCAAAATTATAAGCATGGAATTTGCAGAATTCCTACAGGATGCTACCCGTTTTCTTCTTAAAAATGTCCAAATCATCAACGCCGCTCCACTTCAAATCTACTGTTCTGGACTCGCGTTCTCCCCTACAGACAGCATTATCAGAAGAACATTCAACGGCCAACAGCCAAGTTGGATGCCTGTCTTGCCACAAGTGGAGAAAAACTGGAGCGCAGAACTGCAGACCCTTGAGGGCCATTCCAGTTTGGTTCTCTCAGTGGCCTTCTCACTGGACGGGCAGAGGATCGTGTCAGGTTCTTTCGATGCGACTATCAAGCTCTGGGATGCCCAAACCGGCGCAGAGCTACGATCGCTCAACGGCCATTCCGATTCGGTTCACTCGGTGGCCTTCTCACCGGACGGGCAGAGGATCGTGTCAGGTTCTGATGATGAGACTATCAAGCTCTGGGATGCCCAAACCGGCGTAGAGCAGCGATCGCTTAAGGGCTATTCCGGTTCGGTTAACTTAGTGGCCTTCTCACCGGACGGGCAGAGGATCGTGTCAGGTTCTCGCGATAAGACTATCGAGCTCTGGGATGCCCAGACCGGCGTAGAGCTACAATCGCTTAAGGGCCATTCATATCGGGTTAACTCAGTGGCCTTCTCACCGGACGGGCAGAGGATCATATTAGGTTCTAGTGATACGACTATTAAGCTCTGGGATACCGAAACCGGCGTAGAGCTACGATCGCTCGAGGGTCATTCCAATTCGGTTCACTCGGTGGCCTTCTCACCGGACGGGCAGAGGATCGTGTCAGGTTCTGATGATGAGACCATCAAGCTCTGGGATGCCCAAACCGGCGTAGAGCTGCGATCGCTCGAGGGCCATTCCAATCCGGTTTCAAATGTCTCGTCAGGCGATGCCCATATTGAGCATGAACAAGGCTCTCGGATATCAGTTGAAAAAACTTGGTTGTGTTTTAGAGGTGAAAGAGTAATATGGCTTCCTCCTGAACTTCGTGGACCTATCTGTCATGACATCAGACGTGATACACTGGCCCTTGGGTACCGGGACGGTCGCTTCTTCATTATTAGACTTTGTGCACCTTCCGATTGAATCTGTTTATAAACTCACAATCTTATTTACTTATATTTCTAATCTTTATTCAAAAAGAGGGCCTGGGATGGCTGAGCCTTATATTTTGATTTTCCATGTCCAGAGGTTTCGAGCCTCTTTAATTGGTGGCGAATAGCCGTGCACCTGAAGCTCACAGCCACTACAGATTACATCACGCGCAGCGTACAAGGATTAATACACTCGATTGCTTTTGTACGTGCGGTACCGTACTGTATGTACAATTCGATCGTCAGCGACTTTAATTATGAATATTTCCTTATCAGGATTAGCGCTTTCTTGGCACACCGCCATAATAAAAAAGAGTAAGAGACCCGGGCGCCAGTTTTGAACTCAAGTGTAGATTGGTATATAATCAAGGGTACTAGATGTTTGAGCGGGAACCAAGAGCCTCGCCTCGTGGTTTTGTAGACCCGAAGGCCGTTTTGGGGCTTCAACGTAACCGCGGTGAAATATTAGTCATCTCAAGGCGGACTGTCTACACTTGTGCGTGGTTTTGATGGGAGAATTCGTGGTGTTTCCGTATAGACTACAGTATGCTAGAATACGTGCTTAATCAGATAATGCTTAGGTGGCCACCTCGTCTTCAACACTATCAAACACTTACGTGAGGGCGTAAAATGAAATAAGCATGTTTCGTATAGGTTTCTCTTGAGATGACCACCTTGATGACAGGCGCTAATAACAATGGCTTTGAGACAGCTTATAGGCCCAGTTTTTGACTGTTTTTCTAGCTGAACTGGATTGAATGGTTTGGGGCTATTTTTCTAGAACAACCAAAGAGCACCTATACACTATTTAACATCGGCTTGGGCGAGTTACTTCTTGGTTGACGTAGTATACAACTTGGTCTTTTGGGGCGTGTCAACTGGAAGTGTGCTCGATTTACTCAGGTATTTCATAAATTCGCATTTACATGAAAACCGTCACCTGTCACTTAGTCTATACAGACTGATGCCAGGGGTGATTCATTAGCCATCAGATAATCTAACATTGCTTCTGTGGCCGCTTCCAAGCACTTGAAACAAATGTTACCCGCCCCAAACAACCCAATGCTATGTCCTTGGCTCTTTGCGATAGAATGCTAACAGCTGCGAGACGGGCGCCCAATTGCCGTGAGCACGGAATATTCCCAAGATCCGGTATGGTGTAAGTAAAAGTGACGATGGAAAGACCATGGTGATGCGTGGTTCTCACAAGAGCGTAGCTATTCCCCACAGGTAACGGCAAGTCCATTTTAACTATAGCCCTTTCCTAAACAAGGCTTAGCTCATTCGCGCAAGCTGTAATATCTGACGACTAACTCATCACATGAAAAGGGAAGCAACCCCCGATTATTCATTTTCTAGCTACCCCGACATCATGAACTTCATATTACCACGCGACATTCCTAACTGTGTGGTTAGGGTGCACCACCCGTGTCTTAGCACGCCATAGGCTTTTATTTGCGACTTTTAAGGTACTATCTTGAAAGTGTATGGTATATTCGAGGCCCAGAATCACACAATGTGTATTGAGGAAGCTAATTAGTGCCAACGTCTTCCCTCTAGGTATTTAAATCCACAGTTTCCAACGCAGTGGAGTTAAACTGAGCTAGAAACTGGGCAACGATCGCCTCCTGATCAACTTGCTCTGATCGGCTCTCTGTGACGTTTATGTTGCGCATACTCTCGACAACCTCGCTGTTCCGTAGTTGCATTACATCCATCAACTCACGAAACCAGGACATTCGTCTTTCATACCAGCCTTCCTTTGCAGGATTGGTCGGTCTATCCCTGCTCCGAAAGTATTCATGCTGTAACCAGAAAGCATATTCGGCCATCGGTCTTGACAGATCGATCATTGGCTCACTATCAGGGCTGACAATTGTAACATTGCCTACGAAGCGATCGTTTTTGTGATCCACTCCGTGAGTCAACTATCCTATTAGAATATGGTCTTATTTTTCTTTTTTGGGTCCTTCGCCTTTACTCACTTGTTTGAGCTGTCTTCTATCGCGTATTTTCTCTCTTGCCTTTGTCACTTCAGACTTGTGCTTTCTTTTCAAAAGAACCATCCACTGAGACCTAAGACTGTCCAAGCTCTGGTGTTCCCACGACTGCATATCTTCTTCTAGTATCTCGAGAAACTCTTCTTCCTCATCGAGTATCTCCCTGACGTCTTCATTCGAAAGGATTCTCGGCCTGAACAGACCATAGTCTCTCACACGCACTCCTCTTCCCCTATGGCAGCAAAAATGTGTGATATCGATCATGTCGGATTGTGTCCTGCGAAGAAAGGATAAAAGCATTAGTTTTGACGCTTCAAGGCCACAAAACTCTTCCACAATTGAGAGCCACTCAAAAGCCCACACAAATCCAGCTGGAGTCCCAAATATATTGAAATTAAACCCAAAGTCAAACGCCGAAGAAGTATGGCAGCCATTGCCATCAAGCACACATGGGCAGTCGCAGCTATCAGAAAGGAAAACATCAGCCCCCCGAGCCAGGCACAGCTTGATTGTATCGACAACATCCCAAATGAACCATCTACAGTTTCCCAGCTGCGAAATCAGATGGAAAATAACTGTACGTCCCTCAACGTCGGTGTGATTCACATTGCTTCCATTCTCGAGGCAATATTGAATCAATTCGGCATTTGCGCATCGCACCAATGAATGTATTGCAAGCTTTCCATCACTGTTTGGCTGATTGAACCCACTAAAACCGCGTCGAACGAGAGCCTGGGCCTCCTTCTTGTTTCGGACATAGTGTAGTAGGTTATCGTGATTTGTGCCTGTGTTGCAATTTTTGAAGGTGAAGTTCACATCTTCACAGAGGTTAACCAGATTTTCAAAATATTCCACTCTTCTCAAGTCATCGATCCAAGTGTCGTTTACGATCAGTTTCAGTAAGGCATGAGTAACAAAATATTGAAATGTCCTCCGAGTATAGCATGATCGCATTGTGTGCAGAGATTTGAAGACGAGATCCCAATGACCACGTACAGATGCATATGCGATAAAATTCCGGCCCCAGCGTGTATCTGAGATGGTGGTATCCGCGCCTTGGAGGATAAGCATTTCGACAACTTCGCTATTTCCCATCCCCGCTGCGTACATTAAAGGAGTGGCTCCATGTTTATCAGTGGTGTCTATGTTATGCCCAGCACCTAACAGAAGACTTGAAATATCCCGATCAATACTCGCAAGGTGCAAGGGTGTCTGGCCTAGGAAGTTCCGATCTTCGTCTAGCATGTCTGAAGAAGAGATCAACCGACGAACAGTTTTGACCGACTGGAGTAAAATCGCATCGTGCAGTGCCGTGGCCCCCGCAAATCCTTGCGATCTGTTAATGGCTGTCACCAGTTTGAGATTTTATTAGACTCACCGGGACTAGCCTTTGCTAGCGTGGCAAGATAGTTGATGAAGAATGGATCAGGAGTCAATTCTTCTGACAACCAGTTTGGCGATAGCGGCGGGGGCCATCTTTGAAACAATGGTGAATTTATATTGCCAGGATCGAATCCACATTCGAGAATTACATCAAGCAATTCAAGATGAGGTCCCTCTCCTATCCAAGCTACACATTGAAGAAGGAAACTAGTTAAATCATCGTTAGTCCCACTTATATCATAACGGTATGTGGTTGGAAAAACCTTTGATCCTGATTTTCAAGTGTCATGCCAAAATCACGAACTAACGTCCTCAAAAGAGCAAATTGTCTATTTTGATCCCTCCAAGGCCCATAAGCAAGAAGCTCCTTTGTAATGTCAGTCTAGACTAGACCCAGGGCATGGCAGCTAGGTCAAGCTGACGTACCTGGACATACCCCTTCCCGTCTGGGTTTATGTGATTTTTAAGACCATTGTCCAAGCGATACAGTTCGAAAAAGCTCTCTCGGGCCTGAAAAGGCGAAATAG